CAGCCAGCCAGCCAGCCAGCCAGCCAGCCAGCCAGCCAGCCAGCCAGCCAGCCAGCCAGCCAGCCAGCCAGCCAGCCAGCCAGCCAGCCAGCCAGCCAGCCAGCCAGCCAGCCAGCCAGTCAGCCAGCCAGCCAGCCAGCCAGCCAGCTTCAAACATTGTTCGGACATTCATTCCGTTTTCTGTTTTCTTCACTTTTTTACATATGTACATGACGTTATTAGGATATCAATTTACAAAAGAGTTCATAGTAATCCTTCAAATCATATATTTATGATAAACACAAATGTTTTTAAGGAAATGAAAGCTGCGCAATACGAAAGACTGATGTATGCAGATAAGCGAAGTTTAAGCAAATCTGATATGCCTGTGAAACGGGTGAAGAGATGGGTTAAAAAAAGTTTTTTTTTGAAACCGAGAATTAGGTTTTTATCTTTGCTTACGTAAATACTTCACTCTTTAGTGTTATACAAGCTTTATCGTTCCAAGTTTTGACTCATAATCGTTCTTTAAGTGTTTTTAATACCATGCTATTGTCAATATTCTTGACATACAATTCTATCTGAAAATGAATCGAGATCAGTGATGTACTTTCCGTACAGCTGAAACCAGAGTAGTAGCTAAGTACTGTAGCTCAAGTGAGAGACTATTCGACAGAAAACGCATAGTTCCAGCTCTGCAACAGACTGAAACCGCCTTAGGTTTCAATTGTAATTGGATTCAGTAAGTACCAAACTGAGCTGAAATTGAACTTGCGTATGTATCAGTCACTATATTTTATATCCCATTGGATTTTGTCCTTTCCGTTAGTTTATTTCAAAATGCTCGTACACAAGACAAGTGAAACTGCACATACCTTATTTGACATTGTTTGCATTATTCACCTACTAACAATTCACAATGTTCAATCTACAATGTCAATGCTTTTTTTCAAATCCGTAATCCTGATCGAAATGGAATTTGTTTAATTCGATATGAGGAACTAGATTGAAAACATTTTTGATCAAATCATGAACTGACATCCATTGAAGGACCACTGAAAACCTGGCAGTAGTGGACATCTGTTTCGTTCTCAGCATTGTGTACTCGTGGGTTCGAGTTCGGGGCCTTCAGGTTTCGAAGCGAGCACCTTACCACCAGACCACTGAGTTGGAACTCAACGATCCTGGTTCCAATTGCTGATGTAGTTATGGCTGCACACCACTGAGATATCCCATACTAGGACGAAACAGCTGTTCAGTGTTGCCAGGTTTTCAGTGGTTCTCCAACTGGTGTCATTCCTTGGTGAATACTAGTCTGAAATCAACAAGTTCCTAAAGGCTTCTAAACTGAATATTTGATTTACTAAAACTAAAAACAATACATCTCTCGATTTATCTGAATTCCAATATTTAACTTTCTAATAATTAGGCATTTAGCTAAAATCTCTTTGACATACTCTTCTGACACTAATCATACCCTAACTATAACGAAGATCTACATTACTGAAGATGCTAAACACCTTACACTTGAAATAATTCATTATGTTTATTATTATATTTGTCTAGTGTAGGTAAAACTTTAAAAATTCATGCACTGTATCAAAGTCGGCGATTATAAAATGCCTCAGATAAGAGCTAACTTTAAAGTACTGTTAACGTACTAAATTTCTGTTTTAAAATAAACGTGTAACAACTAGATAATGAAAACAAACTGTTGGGACTATGAAACAGTTTGAATGACATTGTATTTTAAGAGAAGCATGAAATTTGATACTACTATGCAGCGGTTCAACTTACCATGCTTGAGTCAAAACAACTACACGGAAGTTAAAACATAGAAAAGATAAAAATACACGATACAAAGATTTAGATGAAGATTAAGCATGAATTCTTTCAGTGACTGCAGTGGATTCTAAAATATACCATCCAGAGTGTTCAGTTATTGGTCTCGTTTATCTTGTGAGCTCTAAACAGGCAATCTGCATAGCTAAGACCGACAGTTGTAGACTTGGTGACAAATCACGTCCTGATCACAATCAGCATAGTCTTATCAATTTTCTTCACTTCATCTCTGACAGATACCACTTGATATGGATGCCTTACCTGACAATCCACCGTTGGCTAAGACTGTCCAAGTATAAAGCTCTCGGTAGAGTTATGTTCTTGTCAGGGACTCCCTTTAGTAGGAAGTATCTCCTTAAGACGTCTTAACTACAGCCTAATTCCACCTTGAGATCAAGAATTAAAGCTAGTGTCTGGAAACGTTACAGATGTTTCAAGGTCTGACCGGTATGTCGACGGTCACTTTCGAAACTTGTGGAATTCCATCGTGTTTGCCGCTTTTGATCTTTAGTTAACAGTTGAGTAATTAAGAAAAGTACAATTTTAGTCACCACACTGTTCAAGATAATTTCTCCATCGTTAACATAGAATGACTGCGGTAATCATGCCTCCTTATTTACTAGAAAGAAAAGAAAAGTAGTGAAAAATTCTTCCATCATTGTGGTGAATGTTCAAAAACATATACAATGTCTCGTTGATAGTAACATCAACGAATAAAGTGCAAGCAAGACCCCAGTAGACTTCATTTGCTCTTCTTAATGCTTTTTCTGAGTAGAAACTAAATAAATGTTCAGTAATCGTTATATTGTCTAAATGAAGACTAATGGATGCAGTAATTCACCAACATATTTTGTTACTAGTATCCATATGATTGCTGAATCATATTATTATTCTAGATATATCAGCAGCTTATACCAACAAATTCTTCTGAAAGCTAATCCAGGAATCTACGACACCTCAGCAAACAAGTGAACCTACGAGAGGCAAGAGTAGAAACAACAACAATAACTATCACTATGAATCTACCAAAAGTATCCTTTTATACTTTGATTCTAATGTTGTAACAAAATAAACTAACGAATAAAATGAGTTCACAAGTACTAAGGTTGGGTCTGCAGATTTCGCAATTTGAATGCTTCCTATCTGTTCATGCTGTGCAGAAAGGTATATGTCATTAGTTCATGGCATTTTCACGTCATAGATCAAACTTTGCAATCATGGTTGGACCGTTTGCAACGAAAGCTTTGCTAAAACAATAGTTAGACAACAGTTGGAAAACTACAGCGGTGACAAATGTCGAAAGGTACCATGCAGTTTTTAAATAATAGTTTGCGAGGTGATCATTCATAGGTACTGTTGTTAGCTTGCTTGATGAGCTGCATCAGCCCAAACGAACTGGCTGCTGACGAAATCTCAGCTCGGATACAGAAGGCCCGTTTGGCAATTGCCAAGTTGCGTCACTTGTGGTGAAATATCGGACTACCTATCAAAGAACATTCCTTCCTGTTATACAGCTGTGAGACAAGGCCGTTGAAAGTAGAAGACATGAAGCGCTTACAGTATTTCAATCATAGGTGGCTACGTAGCATTATTCGAGTTCGGTTGGGTCATCGTGTGAACGATGTTGAGGTCAGGGGAAGGGTACTAAGCCAGATAGGCCAGATGAGGTCGTGAACCTAAATCGACTGAGAAGGTTTTGGTACATACTGCGCATGCCGAGTCACCACCTACCTCGACGTGCCATGCTAGAAGAAGTTCGGTTAGGTTGTAAGAGGGTTCAGGGTAGCTAGACCAAAACGTGGCACCAGTCCATGAGGTCTTTGACTGTCGAACTCAGGCATTTGGGGACATGTAGACTACCTACCTGGGTCCTCAAGACGACAGGAACAACTGGTTGGGAAGTCTTCGTGAAAGACTGAAAATCGGTTACAAAGGCACACGTGTATTCACTGAATGGCGTATTCTAAGGCTTGAATATTTGCACTGACCTTCATCCTCAAACTACTTATGGTCTCAATCATCACCCAGTACAAATACTTGTCTGCGAAACTACGGCTATTTTAGATAGTTAAATCACACGATTTTGTCGAATTTGATATTTGTTTCCTATCCATTTGTTTACTACTGTGAAGTATGACAACTTGACCCGATGCACTTGCGTGTGATGTTGCACGTTGATTCTATCTGTCTCTCTTCTGAGATGAATACGGTCGTTCGTATCTACATTTTCATACTGTAGAATGAGAAGAAAAAGTTTAAGGCTGAATAAATTAACGGAGAAAACAAGAAATCAATTTATCAAACAGCAACATACTGTTCTTTATTTATTCAATTAAATATATATGTACGCATATGTATGCAGTGTGCGAAATAATAACATATCTACAAGAAGAACGAAACACATTAATAATAGTAATAATACCAATGGTAAAAATAGCAGTAATAACAAAGAAGGATAAAAATCGAAAAAGACAAAAAAATAGGAAAGAATAAACAACAATAATAGAAGTGATAATGAACAAATCCACATGACACAAGTCACAGAAATAACGAGAACAGATAAAATATATGTATTAAAAAACGAACAAATTATACCTTTGAAGATAAAAACGGGATGGAATTAATTCACTTTAGTCTTGTTTACAAACAGTTTTACCACCAATGGATCAATACACAGACAAACATGTGGACAAAAAGACAGAATAAAACTATAAACAGACAGGCATCGGTGATGAACATCAGTAGGCGATGATGAACGAGGCTTAACAATCAGTAAGGATAATCTTCATATTCCACAGAAGGATTAGTTTTTAAAAAAATCACGTGACGTCCACCAGGTGAGGTGATGAACACAAGCACATACAGAAAGACAGAAACCCAGGCACACTAACACGCCTGGAAAAGGAGAGATATACCTATACCAAGGATAGATAGCATGAGAACCATATATATATATATATATATATATATATATATATATATATATATATATATATATATATATATATATATATATATGCGGAAATGCACAACAGAAATAGAGGTGAAAGAAGCAAACAACTTTAGTAATTCAAATTGTTTACAAGTTATCATCATACACACTATTATTATCATCTTTGGCTAGTTACACAGTACAACATACGACGATGAAATTACATTGAATTGAGAGAGATAATTTTCTGAAAACAGGATAAGGATATATTATTTCTTTATTTTTATCTTTAATAAAAATGAACAGAAAACAACAAAGAAACAAATGAAGAGTCTTTTGTCTTTCTATTTTTCTCCAATCATTTCTTCACATCAGCTGTATCATTATTTTAGTTATGATTACAATTTTTATTACTGTGATCACTGTATTTTTTATTTAAAAAGATATAACTGAAAGCCCATCGGTTGATTAAAATATATGTAAAAGAGTATAAAATAATGTTAAATAAAAGTGCATAGTGTCAATATGCGTATATACAGCACACAAGTGAGTTTACAGTTAGAGTAAAGAGGAACAAACATACATAGATACACACATATAAACAGGTAGAATGTCAAAGGAACAGCAACGGAACCACAGTAATAACAATAATAGTAATAATAATAACCTGATAAAATACAAAAAGCTTTCTATCCTTGCTCATCTCCTTTCATCCTAATGCTCAGGGAAAATTCAACTTTAACCATCTTTAACGTACTCAGATATACAATTATCAGAGTAACACCAACACAACTTCAATTCCCTGAAAATGTCAGACAGGTCATCTCCACAGTCAAAAAAGAAGAGCAAGAAAGATTACAATGAAAATACAAACATACGAGATGAAGATTGGTTAAACCAGTTAAACTTTCGACTCATAAACAGACTACATTATCGCGTTTATTCTTGATTTATTCAATATCTATTCCACTGAATCTTGGCACGTAGTGAGTAAACACAAGTAAATACAATCACAGGAAGGCTAAACACACCAAAGGGGTTACTTAAACAAATAAATTAAAGAGATTTTTGCAAAATCAATAAAGAAAAACAATGGGTTATCAGAAAAAATTATCTCTTTTCTGTTGTTTCTTCTTCTTCAATGGAATCTCTTAGTATGACCGTAAATTTTAACAAAACACCCAGGCGAATATACACGCAAACATGAGGTATAAGCATGAGCGAACTTCGCAGAAAGTGAGAATGCAACAGTAATAAACAGGAAACGCCTATTATTATTCCAATAACATAGTATTCTCGATAATATTGATAGTATTCCCTTTGTGCAATCTTTCCATTCTCTTTTCTAAACAGAAGTATATATGCAGATAACAATGGATATTATTAACACTTAGAGTAGAAAATCTCTTCGTTTTTGTTGCTGTTCATTGTGTTTTATCACTGATGGAATTGATGACGGCGATGACTGGTTTGCAGTTGGAACATTTCTTGGACTATCATGAGACTCAACAGTTGCATAACGTGCAGTTTGAGGCTGTTGGCATCTGACAGGTGAAGATGCACAGCACAGGGTATTCGATGAATGATAAGAATGATCGGTATGAACAATTGTAGATCCATATTGCTCTTTTTGTTCTGGGTATTCATTTGATTTCGACAGTATCTCGTCAGAACAGAGGAGTGATTGCGCGGAACATGGATGATCGGCTTCAGAATTAGTCTGGGACAGTACAAAGAGAAACAAAGAAAATATCAACTGATTGGGACAGTGCAGTCACAAATAGAACCATATATTTTATGCTTCGAAAATAAAAACAGAAAACAATGTTGCCATGCTAAACAAACTGGCCGCATGGTCAGTTTGTTTAATAATTAAACTTTGCTCTTTGGATCAAAAGAGCAAACCTCATTCCGTCCATCAAATCTTGGGACCCACATAATAACTTTAAATCTTGAACAATAGATAATGAAGCATACCTTAATATAACGTTTACAACAGAAGGGGGACATACGAAAAACTTCTGCTTCTTAGAGCTTAGAATACAACAAAGTCGTACGAGTATAGAGATTCATCATTATCAAAAATATCAGCATATGACTAGGCGTTACTACACAATGGTCCAGGTTGTCACACCTCATCAGTACATGAAGCTACAAAGCAATACGATGAAAGACGAAAAAAAGCAAAACCTGGTTGAAAGCAGTTGATAGTAGCAATAGAGAGAAAAGAGAAAATGCTGAATTTAGTATAGCGGTTAAGATGAACATAATGTGTGGGGATACATTTGCACCAGTGACGACGATTCGGAGCCATATCAAATAGTCACCAACTACTTGTTTCTGTTCATACTACAGTCTAAGCGAATAGGAATTTGTTGAACTTGAAGCCCACGCAATTCATGATACTTATTGCTTTATACCGATTCTAAAATATTGTCATCTCCAAACACTTCCCGGTTTTTCTTTGCTTATCCAGAATATTTATCTAATAATGCTATCAAAAGTCAACGCTTCAACAACCTTAACAGCTTCATCCACTGCTATTAATTTTATCGCCATATATATTATACTTATTTTTTCCCTTGGGTTCCTAGTGGAACAAAGGGCCTCAATAGCACGTCTCCATTCCACTCTGTTCTCTGAAGTCTTTCGAACTTCGCTCCACAACTGCCAACAAGCTTTCATTTCTTCCTCATATCATCTCCTCCATGTCACCCTCGCCTCACCTCGCCTCGCCTCGGACTCCCAACTCCTCCTTTCCCCTTTGAATTCCACTCAACGACCTGGCCTCGAGCACGATGTCCCCAAATGACCTTCTCAGTGTATGCCCAGTCCAGTCCAATCCATCTCCGATTTCATCTTCTGCATAGTTGTTGAGCGATGGATTCTTGCCTCGTTGGTTCGTTGCCAGTCAGCCAACCAGATTTCCTTGTTGCTTATTCTTATTAATCTGGTCATCTGATCTGATCTTCAGTATCGAGTGAGGGTAGGCGGCAGTTGTTGATCAATGTCTGCAGTTTGTTCGAAGTGATTTTAGTGACGCGCCAACTTTCTGAACCATTTAACAGCTCTCGCTAGAGAATTGGTGTCGAAAATCCGGATCTTGTTCTTTGCGCTGAGTGCAGTTGATAACCACAGTCATTCGGGATTATTGAAAGTTAGTCTTGATTCTCTGAACCCGACTTTGACAACCCCGTCTCTGCCACCTGCAGCTGAAACGATACTGCCTAGGTAGGTGAAAGAGAGAACTTCTACCAGATTTCTCCCGTTAACGGAAATTTTGCTATTCCTTGTGGCATTTCTGGAGGAGTTTCAAGTGATGGTGGATTCAAGAGTTTTTTGAAGTGGTCAGCCCATCGTTTCTCTACTTTGCCAATTAAATTTCCTCCAACATCCTTCATTCGTTTCACCTGTGTTGATCTCTTCCCTCCCAGACAGTAAGTAACCTGGTCATTTCGTACAGTGTTGTTAGGTCTCTCCTACCTACCAGCAGCCTGTTCTGCTTCACTTACCAGTGTGTCGTACAAGTGTCTTTTCTCATTGCACACACTCTCCTTCACTTCCTTCTCCACTGTAGTGTTTCTTTATAGGTTGTGTTCAGTTCCTCTTTTCGTTGTTCATCCTGGCACACCCCTGCACTGCGCTGCAATGCAGTTCGCAGAATCCACTTGCATTCCATCTGCAGATTACTCACATATTCCCAGTCTAGCACTCCTACGCCATACCTTCTCATCTCTTTTGCAATCTGGGTAGTCTTGCCTGCCAGCCAGCCAGCGAGCCATCCAGCCAGTCAGCTTCAAACATTGTTCAGACATTCATTCCGTGTCCCTATGCTTACTTTCGCTTTCATCGAGAGAAGAGAAGGGAGACACATTGGTCAATTGGCTTCGTGAAGGCTTTCACCAACTGGCGTCATTTCGCCTATCGGATTCCAGTGAGGAAAAAGTTTAATTTTATGATTTATATTTTGTGTGCTTTGAAGTTTGTGTAGCGATTGGCTTGGTTTTATGGGGTAGGGTTGCTATCCGTATGCCCAGGCTTCCCTGTTTATGGGGGTTACGGGCGGTGAACTAGTTAACCAGGCGAGGTTCGATATATATATATATATATATATATATATATATATATATATATATATATATATTCATCAGACTTTTGTGTTTATAAACCAGGACAAAAGCGATTTCTTGTCTTAGATAATATCACAATAAACATGTCGACAGGCTGCAAGTGCGATGCGATCAACCCAAGTGACATAATTATCATTTAATTTGTTAATCCTGTAATATTTCTTAATTTTAGAAACTTTATGTATAAATCAGCTTTTTTAACTAAATTCGATGTGTTAAGCACATATCTGCTATAGGGTAAACCTGACTGCACTAAGTTTACTAATTCGTTTTATATGAGTGTGCAGTTTTCTAAGTTTCGATAAATATCCTGAAACTGATCGTAGGCAAAATTAAGTACACATATACGACAGCTATCCAAAAACAAGTCCAATAAAATGAATCTAGAATATAAATGAATCGCTAAAATTATTCAGGTTAACTATATCTGACTAAGTAACTTAGACGGATAGGTAAAACATGAAATGGATCGACAATTTGCATATTTCAAAATAGATTTTTTAATTCCGGATTGAAATCAGCTAGAGAACAACTTATAAAATAGGAGCAATGAGTGGCTGTTTCCCTCGAGTTTGTGAATTCTCAGCAGCGTACATCAACGTTCACAAGAGGAGTGAAACCCAGAAACGTGAGGTTTCACAGTGAGAAAGTTACTATTCACCTAGTGGGTTAAGATTCAATGATCAACATTTTGAAAGCTGTGTCAATGTACAATATAGTATGATCATCATTCAATGTCACCGAGGAATAATAATCCTCAGATTTGACTTCACAAATCACAACGGCCCATGAATGCTTTGGAAAGTGTACATTGAAGCAAATCACAATGGGATTGAGTAGCGATCTATCGAATCTGTAGTTTGTGGTGAGTTGTTTGATTCCAGTTCATGATGATATCATGAAGCTAGACAAAGGTCTAAAGTAACACCCAGATGACCTTGAAAATCATCTACAGATTGCCCAGTTCACCATGATACTTCTTTAACAAAAATCTTGTTAACATCAAAGCTGAGGAACTGGTAAAACTTTTCATCAAGAAAAATGCAAAAATGAACGGTGAAATTTTTAAATGATGACCAATATCCCCATAATAATACGTATCATGGAGTTCATTCTAAGATCAAAAGTGTTAACAAGTAACCAGCTGTTTCAAATAATTATATATATATATATATATATATATATATATATATATATATATATATATATATATATAAATTGATTAACCTCGCCTGGTTAACTAGTTCACTAGTTACTAACCGGTCCTAAGCCCGGGTAAACAGGGAAGGTTGGGCATAGGGCTAGCAACCCTACTCCGTAAAACAAATCTAACCGCTAAACAAACTTCACAGCACAAACGATATGTAAAAAATAAAAACAAAATAATTCCTCGCTGGAATCGGAGAGACGAAATGACGCCAGTTGATGAAAGCCTGCCTTCGGGAAGCCAATTGGCCGATGTGTCTTCTCTCCCTTGATGAAAGCGAAAGTAAACGTGGAAACATGGAATGTTCACACCATGTTTGAACCCAGCAAGGAAGCCAAGATTGCAAAAGAGATGAGAAGGTATCACATCGAAGTGCTTGGGATTTGCGAAAGCAGATGGAATGGGAGTGGACTCTCCAAACTGTCAACTGGAGAATCAATAATCTACTCCGGTCACCCAGACGACAACCACGAGCATACTGAGTTTTCGAGTGGCTATCATTGATGTCCCCAAGAGCATCAAAGGCTCTCATGCAGTGGGAACCAATCTCCTCCAGGATCATGGCAGCAAGACTCAACTCAAAAGGAAGGAAAGTCACAATCATACAATGCTATGCACCTACAAATAATGCAGATGAAGAGAAAAAGGAGGAATTCTACAGACAACTTCAATCAACACTGGACAAGACGTCAGTTGGCGATATCAAAATTCATTCTAATGGGCGACATGAATGCCAAACTGGGAGGGGACAACACAGGAAGAGAACTAACCATGCGTCGAGAAGCACTCGGTGAGGTGATGAACGAGAATGGAGAATTGTTTGCAGAATTCTGTGCATTCAACGATTTGGTGATTGGAGGCAGTGTGTTCAAGCACAAGGATATCCACAAAGCGAGTGACATGGATTTCACAGGCAGGTTTCAGGAAGTACAAATCATGTGCAGACCAAATTGCAACGCTTCGCATTATCATAGAACAGAGCATAGAATGGCAATCAGCTCTCTACCTCAACTTTATCGACTTCGAGAAGGCCTTTGACAGCGTCGACCGGGAAGTAATTTGGAAACTGCTTCACTACTACGGAGTACCGCAAACCTTTATCCGCCTCATTCAACAACTATATGAAGATGTCACATGCCAAGTAATTCACAATGGGAAGCTCAGTGATGTCACTAAAGTGAAGACGGAAGTGAAACAAGGCTGTCTACTATCACGTATGGTCTTCCTGATTGTGGTCGACTGGATCATGCAGCGAACAGTGGGGAGCGAGAAGAAGGGGATACACTGGACTACGGAAAAGAACCTAGAAAACTTGGATTTCGCCAATGACTTGTGCCTGATGTCACATAAACTTGAAGATCCACAGGCGAAAACTAACAAGTT